TTTTATCCTTGAAGCATATGGGAGACCACATATCTGTCCTATGAAATAAACAAATTTACCATTAAATCACATAGATTGTATATTTTATGAATATTGATTCAAATATTACAGTAAACTAATTAAATCATAAAATGAACAATTAAATGCTCCTAATAAACAATTAATTTAAAATGTGGAGTCAAATTACATTTTTTAAATGCATTTAAAAATTCTAACTTCTCAACAGACAAACAGATGTCCTTATTTGCATTTTTAGAGGTTATTTTGGGGGTCACAGGCTGCAACGTGTAGATAATCTAGATCATCTGGTCTTGTTTGCTTTTGCAATCAATATTGTCATTTTCCATCTCAGTTAAAAGAACTTACAATTCACACATTTCATATAAAAAAGAGGGATCTGGTGTCTGATAGCATCTTCTAAATCCTACTGCAAAGAAATAAACTCAGGTAGACATTCCACATCAGCAAGGAATGTCAAATATTAGATCATGACTCCTGGTTGCGTGGCCGCTGTAATGCATCCCTCACACGCCGCCTGTCTGCATTGACAGTTTATGACTCCTGAGGCTCATTCAACTTTGCGGTTTTCAAATCATCTAAGATCCTTTTCTTCCTGCAACAGTAACCCCCTCTCCACTCAGTCAAATAAACCGTGGATGACTCAGGGAGGTCTGCGAGGCACTAAACTCCAGCATAATGCTTCATATTCCCCTGCCACCAGCTCTGGCCGGAGAGATTTTTTGAAAATAAAATGAGACATTTGTAATAGAGCCATTTCATTACTCTGACAGCGGAGCAGGGAGGCAGAACCGGGCCCGGCGCTTTGGCGTATTAAGACGTGCCGCGGCTACACGGGGTTCTGACAGCACAATGGGACGAAGAGAGAGATTTAGAATATGGAGGATATGGGAGGTGATTTTATTCAAGATGATATGTCTGGAAATTACCATCAAAACCTTAACATTTCTAAAATCATTCAAAAAAACTGTAGATAATGACTTAATGTCAGTTTTACAATAAACAGATTCAAAGAGTACTAACTTTTAAACTACTTGACTAAAAGAAAAAAGACTAATCTTTAAATCATCACATCTTATAACTGTGACAAACAAGTCAAAACAGGCCTATAGGTTCCCTTAAAGTGTATAAAAGTAAATAAAACTGCAAAAGAAATATGAGTAGTATTAAAGCAGGTTGGTCATTTATACTGCTGCAACCAGCCCATACGATCTTTTTGCCCATATGCAACCTGTATCTGATCTTTAATGGCTGTCTGAACAACACAGATCCGATTTTTTCCAATCCCACCCGGGCCACTTGGCTATGTGGTCCTGATTCCGATAAATTTCTGATCATTTCAAACCTATGTCTGAACAGCCAGGTCGCATTCAACCGACCTATAGCAGGGTTTATACGGGAATGAGTAACTCTAATTTAATGCTCTTTAAAGCTCTTTTAATGCTCTTAGAAAAATTTTTCATGTCATCAACAAGTACCCATGACTCTCTTTCATTATCTTTACCGTCGACAGGCTGCAGCCATGTCCCGAATTCTTCGTTTTCCAGCTACTTTAGTTAAAATAAGCATATACCCTATTCTGTAGCTTTTTCTCCGCCTCAAGCTTCTTTTCCGAACATAATGCTTTACGATCAACTGGTAGCAGTTCCATGCAATCATGCGGAAGTAGTTATATCTGATATATCTGACAAAATGGTTTTTAAAAATGTTTTTTTATAATAAACCACCAGGGCGACAGTGGCGTTGGATGTAGGAGTTTGCCCTGAAATCGAAAGATTGAAGGTTCAAGCCCCGACTCTGACTTTCAGTGCAGTGTTCACCTGCATTGTCTACTGATGGTGGTCAGAGGGCCCGGTGGCGCCAGTGTACGGCAGCCCCGCTTCTGTCAGTGAGCCCCAGGGCAGCTGTGGCTACAATATAGCTTGCCACCATCAGTGTATGAGTGTCTGCGTGAATGAGTGAATGAATGTAGTAGGGATGCACGATATAATCGGCCCCCTATCGGTATCGGCCTTAAAACTGAATATCGGACATCGGCCACCCCACCGATATTTAACCCGATATTTGATCAGCTTCTGAGTTTCTAAAGTCTAAAAAAAATATATACTATTTCTTCTTCTTCCTCAAAAACTTCTTTTTTACAGACTTAAAAACTTCTAAAGACGAGGGAAAAAATATTTATAAATTAAAATATCACAATATCTTCATATGCTGATATATTGCCATTTAGAAACACCATATCAATCTCTTTAACTAATGAAATATTGCTATATGTCATCGTTATGCTACGAAATCCCCCAAAAATTCACGAAATTTTGCCATATTTTTATATGTTGATATATTGACGGGTTATCGATCTATTTTACTAACAAAATCTCACAAGAATTTGCAAAATATCACGAGAGTTTGTAACAGAACTAGGAAATTTCACGAGATTTTGAAAGTAAAATAGATCGATACCGCGTTTTTAAAAATCAATTTGATATCAGCATATGAAAATATATGAGTATATTATTTTTCAAAGTGTCAGAAATGGATAACAAAACTGCTATTTTCAATGACTACTTATTTTTGTCCAGCTTTAACATCGGTATCGATTATCGGCTACATGAGTTTTAAAATATCGGCATATCGGATATCGGCCAAAATCCCAATATCGTGCATCCCTAGAATGTAGTGTAAAGCGCTTTGGTCAAGTCTCCTGACTTGAATAAAGGCGCTAAATAAGTACATGCCATTTACCATTTTAAATGCCACTATAATCACATTTAATGAATTTTAATGCCTATTAAGGCCTTAATTTAAAAAGTACGGTAATAATTTTATGACTTTTAATGATTCTTAATGACCCGTGGAAACCCCATGTATGGCATTAATACTAATCAAAGGTCCTTATTCTGCTTCTTGTTATGCAGACAATGCAACAATAGTGGACGATAATGCAGAGAGCTTTCTTTATTTAACCATCTTAAAAAGATGTTGTTGATGCTCTGGCCAAGGTTGATAGAGAAAGGAAAGGTCACTAGATGTGCTCCAGCACTACCATCCATGTTTACTTCCATAAACACAGAGCAAACTTGCTTGTGATGTCATTGTGTCCTTAATTTTTGTGAATGCAGTTCACACAGGAAATACCGTAGAAGTCACATATATTTGGAAATGTGAACCACGCAAAACAATCAGATTTCACAAAGAAAAAAAAAAAAACATCGGAAATTAGCTTTAATGCCTGCAGTGTGAATTTAACCTAAGAGGATCTGATGACATCCAATTGTCATGAGTTTGACATTCCTTATCGAAAGAAAACATTGCAGTAAAGGCAGATAGGTACAGAAGAGGATAAGGGCCATTAATAAAAGTTTTTTATTTAAATTCTGACTTTAATCTCTGAATTAAAAGTAAAATTATTTAGGACTCTCGTCCCAAAGCAAGAATTCTGATATTAAAATCAGAGTTTTGAGATTAAAGGCGCTCTACCTGATTCTGCACAGTTTTATAACATGATGGAAAACCATTTAGTTTAAACTGTAAGCTCCGCCCCTAACCTTCTCCCATGGAGAAACTGTCCTCCCTCTCTGCCTGCAGGTAATAACATGAACAGCTCTTAATAAAAGCAATGAAAAGACACCTATTTTTTAGCTCGTAGTCTTGCAAAGCTGCCCACTGGCTGGTCTGAGATTTACACAAGTTTTCTTTAAGTTCTCTCCTCTCTTCCTACGTTTTGAGCCTTTCAGACCAGAGGTGTTGCAACTTTCCCTTTGTTTGCCGCCACGCACCTTATTTACAAGCTTTTGGAGAAAACACCCCTCAGTGGGAAACGCTCTTAGTGACAGACTGGAAACCAGAAGCTCCACAGAATGAACCCCATTGGCAGAGAAAACCAACACAGAAAGGTTAGAAGCCGAAACCAAAATGCCGGAACTCCTGCATTTGTGCAAACAATGACAGATAGACAGCCTCCCCGATTTTCCATCTTTAGGAAAATGCTAGAGACCAACCTCTACAAAGAGCACCTCCTATCCTCACTCTTACTAATAACTCTGTACCCCTCTACTACTCTTTATGTCCTTCCCTCTCTCTCTTTGCTGTCACTGCTGTTTCTGACTAGGGATTTTCCTCTAGAGAACCTGTTGTCAATTTGATAATTGCAACTCTGTGTCTACTTTGTAAGTCGCTTTGGATAAAAGCATATGTTAAATGCCTAAATGTAAAAAAAAAAATTTAATTATTTGTATGAAACAACCTCTTCTGACACTCAATATACCAAAAAGCATTTTTCTCAGACAAAATAAAAGCTCAGAATGAGTGATCAGCATTTTTTGTTTTATTGAGTGATTGTTTCCCCTCAATGACCCTCATCCTCTTCCACAGACATGGCTGATATTAGCAAATGTTTTTTTGTTTTTTTTAAACACACCAAGAGCTATATTGCCTTCCCCTCTATTTGCTGTGTAAGGATTAAATGGCAGGGAGTATAGAGTATAGCCACTCTGCATGCCGTTAATGTTAAATAGGGTTTATTTCATTGTCAGTCATAGCGATTAAAATCATTTAATTCCCAGCTGAAGAACTGCACTCAGATTAGAGGCTGGATAATCTAAATGTTTATGTGGAGTGTTACATTTGTCTCCTGTAAGTGTTCTCTCTGTTTCAATGAGTCTTTATGGAGGAAAACTCAAATATGAGATTTTTAGTAGGAGAAACTGACCTTGGGATGTGGTAAAATAAAGCTTTGGTTTATTCATGGAGGCCTTATCTGCTGATCTATACGGCCTCCATGCCGTCAGCTGGAGCTGATCCTGTCAGCTTGTGTTATGAACTCAGGCTAGTAGATAGAAGTCGTTCATCTCGGTGCCATTTAGAAACGATTGCAGCTTCCATCAATGATGAATGTATGATGTATAGCATCTGGCATTTTTAATATGTGCCACTTTGTTTAATCAAACTTGATTCAACCTTTCCACTCTCCTCCAGACACTCACCCAGCTGCTCCTGCGTCGTCCCTTCTTCCACAAAGGTGATCCTCTCCAGGACGGCCCAGAACATCACCCCCAGGGAGAAGATGTCCGCCTGAGCCGTGTAGCTCAGCCCGCCCCACACCTCCGGAGCCATGTAGAAGTCCGAGCCGCACGTGGAGGAGAAGTGCTGGCGGCACCGCTCGCCGTTCCCCACGGCGCCGCTCATCTTGCTCAGGCCGAAATCCGCCACCTGAGAAGAGACGAAAAAGTTAATTTGTGAAAACGAGCGTCGAGATCGGACTGGAAATAAAAATGTTTGTTTTCTGTTGCCTGAGAAATCAGGCATGATGGAGAAGTGGATAGATTAGTGTGTCAGACGGAAGTAAAATGGCACCATAGAGGGATCCCAGTGGGTACAATCATAACAACAATCAGCGCACAAATCACAGCAAACCACCACTGAGATCTGCTGGTCATCACTGATCAATACTTCACACCAGCTTTTCCAGTTCTACAGCTCTGATCTATACAGTTCAGTAAAAACAACAGAGCACTGAAAAAGTCCGTATGTTTCTGTTCATTTCATCTAAATCCACCATGCAAGTATCTAAGGATGAGAGCGGAGAGATGCATAACCCAAGGATTTCTAATGTCTTGTCCTCATTCAGAGTCTCTTCCTGTTTATCTAACGCAGCTGGATTTTTAAGGCTTTTCTCTCCACTTCCTCCATTAGAGTATCTTCTAAAAACTCATCTCTCTCTCTTTGGAAAACAACAATTTCATTGATTTTATATCACCCTTTCAAAGGTTTGCTGTTTTTAAAGGTGCATTTCAATTAAAATGACCATTTTTGATCAGGCAGTGTGTAATAAGGCAATAACTGGGTCAGGTAGAATAGGAAAATCTGGAAAGTAATGAAACTCTCCTGCTGTATCCTGGTTTTAGGTTAATTTAACAAGGGATTGATACTGAAGACTGAGTGTCGTTTGCAGATTTCTGTCGTTTCTGAATCATTTGTACAATAAAATTTTAACACCTCTAAGTTTGTTTTATAATTAGGACATTTATTTTGCATTTATTTCCACACTAACCAGCATGATCCCGTCAAGAAAGCAGGTCTCATATTAAAATAGAAACATATGTTTTTCATGTTTATAAACATTTTCAATATTTTATTCATATATCATCCACATACTTTCAAAAACAGCATAGAGTATTTAAAATCATTACAATCCTGTTGCTCAAGCTGCATATTGGTGCAAACATCCCGCACAATCACCTCTTCAGTTTTAAAAGTCTCTAAAGAACCAAATGCTTCTCTTTGGCATCTGGATCACTATGAGCCTTTTAACCGTTTACTTTCTTCCTGTTAATGATGTATTGCAGAGGTCACGGATTAGTGGACCGCAGTCTGGATCCGGACCCACTTGCTGGGTAATCTGAACCCAACCTGATTTAAAACATTTATAAATTGCCGCATGTTGTTCGACAACAGTCTTTAACTTCACTTGCGCCGCTCCTCCTGTTAATACGGTAAAGCCCACCAGAGCGTCCAGCTCCAGGCTACACGTGATATAAATTATCCAATGAGCTGCTGTAAGTCTGGGTTGCTGCTGCTGCTACTTTTAGACACAGCAGGCAAACCTGTGGCAAGCCGGGCGATGGGAAAGAAGGAGAAGATGAGAAAAAGAGAACAGAGAAAGTTTGGATTCAAACCCAGGTTTAAAGCCTTGTAGGGCAGCCTAAAGCCCACTGTTCTCATTAAGCCATAAAAAAAGAAAAACAGTCAGTTCAGGTGTTTTATAAAATATGGGAATCTGAACATTGTCTGTATACCAAACTGAACAACTGTTGTTCTTTACTTCAAAAACACTTTAGATTTTAAAATGGATATGGATGGAATCTTTTTTGTGTGTATATATATATATATATATATATATATATATAAATATACATATACATTTATATATATATATATACATATAAATATACATACACATATATATACACTATATTGCCAAAAGTATTTGCTCACCTGCCTTGACTCACATATGAGCTTAAGTGACATCCCGTTCCTAATCCATAGGGTTCAATATGACGTCGGTCCACCCTTTGCAGCTAGAACAGCTTCAACTCTTCTGGGAAGGCTGTCCACAAGGTTTAGGAGTGTGTTTATGGGAATTTTTGACCATTCTTCCAGAAGCGCATTTGTGAGGTCGCACACTGATGTTGGACGAGAAGGCCTGGCTCTCAGTCTCCGCTCTAATTCATCCCAAAGGTGTTCTATCGGGTTGAGGTCAGGACTCTGTGCAGGCCAGTCAAGTTCATCCACACCAGACTCTGTCATCCATGTCTTTATGGACCTTGCTTTGTGCACTGGTGCACAGTCATGTTGGAAGAGGAAGGGGCCAGCTCCAAACTGTTCCCACAAAGTTGGGAGCATGGAATTGTCCAAAATGTCTTGGTATGCTGAAGCATTCAGAGTTCCTTTCACTGGAACTAAGGGGCCAAGCCCAGCTCCTGAAAAACAACCCCACACCATAATCCCCCCTCCACCAAACTTTACACTTGGCACAATGCAGTCAGACAAGTACCGTTCTCCTGGCAACCGCCAAACCCAGACCCGTCCATCAGATTGCCAGATGGAGAAGCGCGATTCATCACTCCAGAGAACGCGTCTCCACTGCTCTAGAGTCCAGTGGCGGCGTGCTTTACACCACCGCATCCGACGCTTTGCATTGCACTTGGTGATGTATGGCTTGGATGCAGCTGCTCGACCATGGAAACCCATTCCATGAAGCTCTCTGCGCACTGTTCTTGAGCTAATCTGAAGGCCACATGAAGTTTGGAGGTCTGTAGTGATTGACTCTGCAGAAAGTTGGCGACCTCTTCGCACTATGCGCGTCAGCATCCGCTGACCCCGCTCCGTCAGTTTACGTGGCCTACCACTTCGTGGCTGAGTTGCTGTCGTTCCCAAACACTTCCATTTTCTTATAATACAGCTGACAGTTGACTGTGGAATATTTAGGAGCGAGGAAATTTCACGACTGGATTTGTTGCACAGGTGGCATCCTATCACAGTTCCACGCTGGAATTCACTGAGCTCCTGAGAGCGACCCATTCTTTCACAAATGTTTGTAAAAACAGTCTGCATGCCTAGGTGCTTGAATTTATACACCTGTGGCCATGGAAGTGATTGGAACACCTGATTCCAATAATTTGGATGGGTGAGCAAATACTTTTGGCAATATAGTGTATATACATATAAATATACATACACATACACATACATATATATATACATACACATACATATATATACATACACATACATATATATACATACATATATATACATATATATACATACACATACATATATATATATACATACACATACATATATATATATACATACACATACATATATATATATACATACACATACATATATATATATACATACACATACATATATATATATATACATACACATACATATATATATATACATACACATACATATATATATATACATACACATACATATATATATATACATACACATACATATACATATATATACATACACATACATATATATACATACATACATATATATATATACACATACACATACATATATATACATATATATATATATATATATACATATATATATACATACATATATATATATATACATACATATATATATATATACATATATATATATATACATACACATACATATATATATATATACATACATATATATATATATACATACACATACATATATATATATATACATATACATACATATATATATATATACATACACATACATATATATATATATACATATACATACATATATATATATATACATACACATACATATATATATATATACATACATATATATATATATACATACACATACATATATATATATATACATACACATACATATATATATATATACATACACATACATATATATATATATACATACATATATATATATATACATACACATACATATATATATATATACATACATATATATATATATACATACATATATATACATATATATACACATACATATATATATATACATACATATATATACATATATATATATACATACACATACATATATATATATACATACATATATATACATACATACACATATATATATATACATACATACATACACATACATATATATATATTATTTTTATTTTTTTATTTAAAAATTCAATGTATAACATGGATGCATAAAAATCTCACTTTATTTCAGTGCTTAATTCTGTTTAAAGTAAAGGAATATAATTAAAAATGTCACCAAACCTTTACTGGACCATGATTTTCTTTATTCGGACCCCGCTGATTTTTAATTGCTTTCCCCTGGTGTATTGGATTGTCCTACTTTTACTGGGATTCTTTGGTTATTTTGCCCTGCGATGGACTGGCGACCTGTCCAGGGTGGACCCCGCCTCTCGCCTGTAGACAGCTGGAGATAGGCACCAGCACCCCTACTTGAGATAAGCGTGTTTGAAAAAGAATGGATGGATGGATTTGTTTTTTTTTTTATTTTTATCTTATTCATCCTCATTTTAATGTTTTTATTTTGATAATTCATCCCCTTTTCAGCTTTTTAATCATTTTTAAGGGCTTTATGAATAAAGTTACTAAACCAATGTGTGTAGGTTAAAATCCTTAGAGATATTCTGCACAAACTGTAATCTGCATTTGTAATGCGACAACATAGAGTAGTAAAGAACAATCCTTTTATATACCGTAAGCTAACAGCTTCTACTGTTGCTTCTTCTTTCTTGATTTTATTAAGACCTCCTCATAAATATTCACATGTCCAATCGCAGCTGGAGCGACCGGATCGGTCCTCCTCCAGAGATGCTCCGACTCCGAGCTGCCGTAACCATCCCTTCATTGACACAAGGTTTCCTCTGGTTAATCGTTCATTACTAAATGCCAAACCTGTCAGAGTTTAGACTCAAATGCTTCATTACTCAGAATACATTTTATTGAATATCAATGGTTCTGATGAGCGATGGCGGACCCTCGGCTTAGAGAAACTAAGATGGACATTTTTCACTGTTCCTGATGGTTTCCAGATGAAGCTATTAATAGAGGAGTGGCAGGATCATAATAATCAAGACAAAGCGTTAATCACTGCTCACACCCACAGCGCTACACTCAGTGGAAAAACACAAAGACCGGCCTCCCTAAGCGAGTATACCGTCTGATATGAAGGTTTGTTCAATAAAAGGTTTTAGACAAAATAATAATAAAAAAACTGATAATATTTCTCTCTGAATAGAGCACTGAGCTCAGCTTCTTGTCAACACACTAAGTTAGTATAAAGAAAGCTATTTATTATTAAAGTGCTTTGTATTTATACAGCAAGAACAGGAATCTGCAACCTTAAAAAATGAGTTCAGCCAAGTAAAAAAAAAATCATACAGATCTGCAAATATAACATAACCTTTAAATAAAACAACTTAGTTTTTGTTAAATATTTGCTATATTTTTAGCTTTTAAAGCTTTTTAAAGGTGAAGCATGGATTTTCTGTTATGGTGTATTATTTGATCTAAAAAACTAATAGATCTAAAGACATATTTCTGGTTCTTTAATGTCATTCTGTTTGCAAATTCAATCAAATATTATTTTGAAACCCCACTAAAGAGCAGTATTTGTTATTATACTAAGTTTGTTGCCCCTGAGATGCAGGTCGCAGCTCTAGAACCTCACATTTTTGGCATTAATCAGAGAAGCAGCCTAGAGTAAACACTGTTGAAAATAAATAAAATAAAGGCGCAGCTATGAGGCTGTTTGCATTAGAGGTGGAAAAACTGATTGCTTGTCACAGCACTCTCAGCACAACATCAACACAGGTATCCATGGTGATGTTAAGAGCTCCAATGTGTGTTTAAGATCAAAGCGTACTTATTTATGACAATGGCCTAGTCAAAGCCCAGACCTAAAAACTCATCAATAAAAGGTAAGTCTTCCTCCAATCTGAGTGTGTCCCAATTTGCAAAGATTAGATAAACATTTCCCCAAAGTGTAAATCTAGTAAAGACAAACCCTTGAATGGCAGCAAGTATTCAGAGATCAATATTTTCTCTTATGTTCCAGTTGTCCTCTACTTTGAGTCTGATATCGCTTAGAAAACCTGCTGACACTGACAGCATACCTACCTTTATAACGGGGCCTTTGGGCGTCACACAGACCAGAACGTTGTCTGGTTTGAGGTCTCTGTGGGTAATCCCTAAGCCGTGAAGGAAGGCCACGGCGCTGCAGAGCTGCAGCACCACGCTGTGGTTCCGCTCAGCATCTGGGGGTCTAGAGAGCAGGTAGTGGTTCAGGTCTCCCCCATCACAATACTCCATCACCAGCCACAGGGCCATGCAGCGCAGAGATCCAGACTGCTCTTCCTCCCTCTGGGCTGCTGATCGCTTCACAGCTCGGTTCAGAGGCCGCTGTGGGGTCAAGGAATCAGAACCGGTTGATTTATTCCTCTCCTTGAGTCTAGAACCAGCCAGAACTGTGTTGGTCTTATCCTGAAGTCTGGAGCTGGAGTTAGTCCTCCTCAGGGTTTCTGAAAAAACCCCACTCTTCTCTCGAGCTCTTTGTGGCTCCAACACACTTCCTTTGAGGACGGTCTCCACCAGACGCAGAGGCAGTTTTCCATGTTTGAGGGGCTTCAGGCTCCTGGATCCAGTCTGAAGGAGACAGCTGTGCAGAGCGATGACATTGACATGGTTCTTGGCTGTGGCTCTCATGGCCCAAAGCTCCTGCAGGTAGAGCTCAATGCATTCTGGGTTGCTGCAGGGGAGACGTTTGATGGCCACTCTGTGTCCTGTTTTGGCCATGTGGCCCTCAAACACAACACCATAGCTTCCTCTGCCCACCTCCCTGTCCAAGGTGTACAACTCCTCCATGTTTCACCAAGCAGCGGCCTGCTATCAACAAACAACAGCTTGTGTTATTATCAAAATAAATCACTTAACCAGTTTTCAGAAGTGCTCCATTTAGCTAAAATGCCTATTATTACATTATCTACGCAGAAAACAAACAAATAACAGTTTCTGAAAGATTTTAAAATAAAAACTTATACGAAAGGTCAAAAATGAAATGCTACATGTATTAAGGCTAGCTTCAGGTTAACTTCCTGACTGTTTAACACGGCGCTTTGCTGCTATCGAAACGGGAAGTTTTGCTCTACCTTTTTCATCATTTCCGACTTACCCACACGGCAGCAGTTTGACTTATAAACTCCGGAAATGTGCTCGATAAGCTGCAGTGGCCTTGACTCAACATTAAACCGGATGAATTCGCTTTTAATCTCCGTTAATCAACCGAGAGAAGGCAGAAGAAAAAACAGCTGAAAACAAACAAGATAGACTTCCGAGTTTTGATTCGGAGAATCCCGCCTTTGTCTAAGCCTCTATTCTGATTGGCTGCCTAAATCAGTCCTTAAGTTCTGATTGGCTGTGATTCGAATTCTCGAAACTACACACGATACGGCGATCCTATTGGTCCTTTAGGTTACTGTAGGAAAACTGTAAACACAAGGAGAATATGCCTTCATATATCGGTTAACGAACTTTATGGAAGACAATAAAGATTTATAGAATAGTTGTGTATTGCATAAATACGGGTAAATATGGTGTAGGTTTTATACAGAGATGTGATAAACCGCAGTAGTTGATGTACATTTAAACTTTCTGTGCCCCCTTCACGAAACTCAGCCACAAAAACATACGCAGACACACACAGTGGCTTTTTATTTATGTATATATATATATATATATATATATATATATATATATATATTTATATTTTGACCCTAGTTATGACTTTTGTTATATGTTCCTCTAAACCAGGAGATATGTTATTATAAGTGAGATAGTACTAGAAGTTAGCCACAAAGCCAGGCTTCCAGACTCCTGATATAACGATAAAAACTGTGTGATTTTATGTTGGTACTGATAAAGTTAATTTTAAAGGAAAAATATTGAAGAGACAAATCAGTTACGTTTTTTTTCCGGTCCGCTCATATTATCATAAAATATTCACAAAAACTGATTTAAAAAAGTAAATTTTTTTGAAATAGTATTTGCCCTGAATTTGATCAGGTGATTCTGATAATCTACTAAAGGAATGAATATTTTTGTTCTTAAAAATAAAATCAATATTATGCACTTGAAATAAGTTAATGGAATTTACTTCTCTTATTATCATAAAACTCAAACATATTTTTACATTGGAAAACTGTCTAAACTAAATACACTTATTTTAAGAAAAATATAGATAATTATTTTTACCTTCTTATTAGTGAAAATTTTCAATACATGGGGCCACAACAGGGGTCAGGACCATTTCTACAGCATTGTAATGGAAATGTTAAATTACTGTCTGAAAAGCTGTACTAAACAAAACTTTGTTTTGTTTACACTGGGTATACAAAATGACAATAAAAAAGTCTAAGTCCACAGGGGTGATGGCCCCGGTTGGCTGTTGTCTAGCTGGTAGCAGATTAGAAAAACCATCTTGTTGCTGGAGGTTTTGGTCCTGATGGACTGCTGCCTCCTGCCATCAGAATAATTCTGAAACAGTTTGTGTTACTTTCTGAGAAGTTTATTCTAAAAGTTAAGTCAAAAGGAAAATCACCAATAAATGTATTTTAAGGCAACACCTCAAAAACTCTGCTACCTTGTGTGTGTAAATCAGTCAAGATATTAGGGTCAGAGAGTTGGACTTTCACAAATCTGGTGCACTTTCACGTTCTGCAAGTACATACATGCACAGTATAGTATAGTATAGTATAGTATAGTATAGTATAGTATAGTATAGTATAGTATAGTATAGTATAGTATAGTATAGTATAGTATAGTATAGTATAGTATAGTATAATATAGTATAGTATAGTATAGTATATGCATTTATATGCATAGTATATTCATTTTTTACGATGTGGCTTGCAGATCACCCCGTAGCAAGCAGGGAAATAGAAGGTCTGGAAGTGAAGCAAATAATAAATGGTCCCCCTACAGAGAAATAAATGAGTAACGTCCACCAATCACAAAACAGGGTCTGTGGTCCACTATTGGTTCCTGACACGTCAATCAGGGTCGTCTGCTTCTCCCTCCCCGTGTGCGTACCTTGACACATGAACGAATTGACCCCCCAATGCTCTTGCAGGCACGAGGAATAGTGATGTCACGTGAACTCAGTCACATTACCTAGTTCAAAGCCATGGTCGGTCTGCGAGTTACTCTCTAGTAGCTCTATACGGTACAAATTGTGATTCCCGTGTGTTTTTTGTTAGTTATGACAATGCGGTTGGCAGGGGCGTGCATACATAGACACTAGGTGGTGCTAAAGCACTAGGAAGTTTGCCCTTTATCAACGAAAATGCCCTTTTGAAACTCGTTTTTTTTTTATTATTATTATTAATATTATTAAGATTTTACTGAGGTCGGTTTTGAAATGATCTTTTGAAAACCTGAGCCATTAAAACGACTGAAACAATGCCCCAAAATGAGCCACCTCCTTGCTCACACCCGACCAGCCTATCTCTCTTCCTTTGTCACGTGAACTCGCGCGGTCGCCCGCAGGGCATGTCAGATGCGCAGCATCATAGCAGTTCAGTAAGCGTCTTCAGATAGCAGGAACGGTCGCCGACAGGCTGCTTCTCTCGTGCCCCATTAGCCAGGTAATATACAGATCAAGCAAAATCATTTTGTTGTGCATTAAAATGTCTCATTCAGCAGTACCAAACAAGCATTTTTGCCAACTGGTCACCTGATAAACTAGTTAGGCTAGATAAAGTTTTACACTGTAGCCCAAGTCAATGACAGATAACGTGAGGACGACCACATAGGCTACAAATAATTTCGGTAGAGTTTGCAATTGCAAATCTATGTGTTAAGACAAACGTTTTCTGTTGTATAGGTTTTGTTAGGCAACATAAATTAACACATTTTGGTCTCTTTATTGTCTTAATTGTATATTGATTTAGTAATTGCAGCACAATGAAATGGTGGGTTAATCGTATTGAAAAATCTTAAAAGCTGTTCACATTTTATTTTTAAGTGGTTTGTACAAATCAGCAGGTATTAAAATAGCTATTATTTTGTAGGCTACCATAAGTCATATCCACGTGACAAGACTTCCAGTCATGTTGCCCTAATAGCCCATTATTTAAACTAATGTGGCATATTTGTTAAAGCTATTATTATTATTACTATTATCATTATTATTGTCATGATGGTTATTATTATTATATTGTAGCCAGTCACAGCAGGGAAGCTCTATACAATCAACATCTACCAGGACAGGAGATGAGGAAGAGTTCAGGGAAGACACAGAGACAGAAAAAGACCAGGATGAGGGAGAGCAGATGGATGAGGGAGAGCAGATGGATGAGGGAGAGCAGATGGGTGAGGGAGAGCAGATGGGTGAGGGAAAACAGGGAGATGAGCCAGATGAAAGGAGAAAGATTCCAGTATAGTGCTGTAGTAGTACAGTAGTTGAAGTAGTACGCTTTAGTCTGTTCTGTTGGTGGTGTGACTTTTGTCCATTGAAAACTCACGTTTAGAGAATGTTACAAATAAAAGTCAAAATTAATTCAACATGCGTGTGTTGTTTTTTTTTTATAATTAAGTGTTCCACGTGCCCCCTCCACCTCCGCCCCTGTCCGCTATTTGTGTTTCACTCTCTGGCACTTATAAGTAATACCATACGTTCAAGTACACATTGCTTTGACCATCAAAGCCTATGCTGTCAATGTAATGCTTTGGAAAAAAAAACATGTTTTGTCGGCATATGTTTTGCTTGTTTGGGTACGTTTATGCTCGGTTTCCTACATGGCTTTGGTTAGAAACCACAAGCGTTGCTGCTCTAGCTGTTCACTCCCATATCGCAAATTCACTATCAAGACCGCCTTTGACTTGTTAAAATATTTACCAGAGGTGTCAAGTAACAAAGTACAAGTACCTAAGTACACTTCTTTGGTATCTATACTTTACTCCATTACTTATTTTTCTACTTCTACCTTCTACTCATTACATTTTCACACAAGTATCTGTGATTTCTATTCCTAACACTTTTAAAACAAATTTTACTTTTTACTCTTGGCTTTAGTTTAATGTTTATAAATATTTCTTTCAGGTCATGTGCGCCATCCAATGCAGATCATTGGCTCCATCCACATCTAGTGAAAACTAGTGCAATGGATGAGTCATATAACGCAAACACTCATTGGTTAGCTAAAGACAATCATCAGAAGCAAGCAGGTGTTCTTCAAACTGCAAATGCGAATTGTCTATGTCAGGGGTCTTCAATGTTTTCCAGGCCAAGGACCCCCTAACTGATGGCGAGATGGACAGGGACCCCCTAGTTATTTATGTTGTATGAAATAGTGTTATATCAAACTGGTCCTATAGTCACTCTATTACAGATGGAGTCATGTAACTAAAGTAATTTCTTCCTGGGATTATTAAAGTACTTCTGATTCTGATTCCTGGTTGATGGGACAGGTGTTGTGAATGAAACGGTGCCCAGCTTCAAAGAGCTCCTGTGTGTCGCTGAATGTGTGCATTGATGACTGAAAGACATCTTCTGCCTCCATTTATCTGTTTACTACAGTGTGTTGAATTCATGTTAATGTGGATTTAAAGACATTTCAATTAGTGGAAAAAATAGCAGGGGGATTATAAAAAAAAGTCTAATCCACAAAAACTTTCGAGACCCCCATGCAGTACCTCTGAGGAACCCCTAGGGGTTGCGGACCCCCCGTTGAAGACCTACGGTCTATGCCATGCTGCAATGTCGGATTCAGAAAAAAATGTCCAAATGTCTGAAAGGTCGGACACAGGCGAGAGCGTATCGGCAGATAGAGACCAACAAGACTTCCCTCATCCTTGGCCCTATCTCAAATAGTCGAAAAATTGAACTTTAAAATTCATTAAGTGACATCTGGCAGTTTGTTTTTGAGGTTACTTTATACTTTCATACTTTAAGTAGTTTTTGGAGCACATACTTTTCCACTTTTACTTCACTAAAGAGGTCAAGTTGATACTTCAACTTTTACCAGAGTGTTATTAAACTGCAGTATCTATACTTCTACTTAAGTAACGAATGTGTGAAATTTTGACACCACTGATATTCACATCTCTGTGGTTCAAATGTTGCCCGGTCACTGATGGCACTAGTTCTTATCCTTTTTTAAACTTTCTGCCATTGAGAAACAATGGTTCAATCTGGCAATAGCATACAAAGCATATCCTGTTGTTGTGATTGCTTCTAAATTGTCATGGGAAGCTAGCCACTGTAATGTTGTTGTTAGCTCGTGTCACAAGCGCTCGGTCTCGGTTTGTTTCTTTCTCGATCTCGTAAACGTCCGAACACCTCGACAGACAGCAT